AACAAATGCAAAAATGAACAAGTGGGACTATATCAAGCTGAAAAGCTTCTGTACAGCAAAGGACATCATCAACAGAATGAAAAGGCATCCTACAGTATGAGAGTATATATTCATAAATGACATATCCGATAAAGGGCTGATATACAAAATATATAAAGAACTCACACACCTCAGCAAACAAAAAGCAAATAAGCCAATTAAAAATGGGCAGAGGAGCTGAACAGACACTTCTCCAAAGAAGAAATTCAGATGGCCAACAGGCACATCAAAAGATGCTGCACATCACTAATCATCAGAGAAATGCAAATTAAAACTACAGTGAGATATCACCTCACACCAGTTAGGATAGCCAACATCCAAAAGACAAACAACTAATGTTGGTGAGGATGTGGAGAAAGGGGAACCCTCCTACACTGCTCGTGGGAGTGTAAACTAGTTCATCCATTGCGGAAAGCAGTATGGAGGTTCCTCAAAAAGCTCAAAATAGAAATACCATTTGACCCAGAATTCCACTCCTAGAAATTACCCTAAGAATGCAGGAGCCCTGTTTGAAAAAGATATGCACCCCTATGTTTCGCAGCACTATTTACAATAGCCAAGAAATGGAGACAACCTAAGTGTCCATCAGTATATGAATGGATAAAGAAGATGTGGTACATATACACATGGAATATTATTCAGCCCTAAGAAGAAAACAAATCCTACTATTTGCAACAACAGGGATGGAGCTAGAGGATATTATGCTCAATGAAATAAGCCAGGCGGAGAAAGACAAGTACCAAATGATTTCACTCATCTGTGGAGTATAGGAACAAAGGAAAAACTGAAGGAACAAAACAGCAGCAGACTCACAGAACCCAAGAATGAACTAACAGTTACCAAAGGGAAAGGGACCGGAGAGGATGGGTGGGTTGGGAGGGATAAGGAGGAAAAAGGGACATTACGATTAGCACACATAATGTAGGGGGGGGTCACAGGGAATGCAGTATAACACAGAAAAGACAAGTCATGATTCTATAGCATCTTACTACGCTGATGGACAGTGGCTATAATAGGTTATGTGGTGCGGACTTGATAATGGGGGGAGTCTCATAACCATAATGTTGCTCATGTATTGTACATTAATGATACCAAAATAAAAAAAACAAACTTGGGGAAAAAAAGCAACTATATCATCTTTTTCCTTCTCTATTACCCTCTTCACACAATCTTTATCCCCTGTGCTGCAGTAAGCACCCCATTCCATATTCATTAAAAGGAACTTAGGATATGGAATCACAAAATCTCTGTTTGATTCCAAGCACTATTCTCATACACTATAATGGAACTTCAGGCTAGGTATGTAAGATATCTGAGCCTCAGATTTCTCACCTGTTTAAAAAAAGAAAGAAAAGAAAAAAATTATTGTAATAATTCAGTGACAACTGTTTACAAACTGTACTGTACTAGAAATGGTAGCTCTTACCTACTCCGAAGTATTATTCTGCTCAGAAATTACCTGCCTCCAAGTTCAAACGTGTGTAATGAGCAATGAGCATAAGGTAATCATTAGCAGAAAACAAGCTAAACTAAGCAGCTCGTGGAAGATGTCCCCTTCACATTCCCGGACTTTAGAATATACTTACTGACCTAAATGAAGCTCTTGTTGGGGCAATACCAGGCAGAAATATTAAATTAAAAAGTTATAAAAACAAACAAAGTTAAGCTGTATTGTATAGAAGACTTTTCTGTCACTACCTTACCTAGCAATCTGCATGGTGAGAAATCTTTCTTCTTAGTTTCCCTAAATAAGCTACTTCACTTAGCTCCCCTTCCTATTCCTTAAAGTACTCCCCATGAACAAGGCAACATGGATCCTAAAGTAAAGCAAAGAGAACTAGCCAGATGAGTAAGTGTGTTTAAGTTGAGGAGAGACTATCCTTGACATAATCCATTGGGAAAATTCAAATTAAAGACAGAGGCAAAAATTTTCTTTACATCTATATAAATGTCCATGTAAACAATACTTTCTATTTTAAGTATAATTTCCCCACAGAAATGTCAAAAGCCTTGTCCTTTTCAATTTAGTGGGCTCATTTAAGAATTTTCGCTATTAATTTAATACTTAAAAATCAACGGGACCCAAAAAGCTAATAAGAAAGCCCTCAGAGACTTAAACTGAACTACGGCCAAAAAACTTGATAAAAACCTCACCTGAAATGGACTGTACTTCCAAACTGTAGGAAAACCATAAAATCAAAACAATTCTCAGGATGTAAAATCACCCAGGTAACTAACCCACTTTAATTATAAAAAACTTGCAATAGTGGGAAGGGAGGAAGAAGGGGAATAATGGGCATTACAATTAGCACACATAACGTTGGGGGGCAGCATGGGGAAGGCAGTAGAGCAGAGACGACAAGTAATGACTCTACAGCATCTTACTACACTGATGGACAATTACTGTACTGGGGTATGTGGTGGGGACTTGATAATAGGGTGAATGTAGTAATCACAACGTTGCTCATGTGATTTTATATTAATGATACAAAAAAAATCGCAATACGCAAGTGACCATGTTACTTTTCTCTGAGTTTATGTAGTGTTGGTTATAATCCAGTCAGGGTCACAGAAGAGATACTAAAAAATCTCCTAAGACATCTAAATGGGTATTTCTAGTACTATTTGTTCCTTTTTGCACCAAAGTTAGCAGCACAGCATTTCACAAAGTCAGCTACCACATCAACTTCACAATGTCTTCATCATCTCCTAAGGAAGGCAGCTAGTGGTCTGCATCATGCAGCCCAAAGATTTGAAGCCTACTTAGATAAACATGGCTATGTGTGAATTTCATCCCCCTACCCCAGTAAGATCAGAATACCTCACTGGGTGTCAAGTTTAGGACCACCAAAAATCTTGGGGCTACTAACAAGGGCTCTTGGCCCCACCACACAAACATGTTTAAAAGTAAGGGACATGAGAAATAACATGACTTATCCAAGTCACCTGATAGGAGGGGAAAAGGAAAGGGGTCAAGTATGGGGTGAGGGGCTTTATAGTACACAATATCCTGAAAAAGAAATAGTCAACAGGCAAGTTAAAACACACGTGCATTTGCCAACAGGTAGCAGTTACCACACAACATATCTGTGAGCTTTCTCAACACACAAAACAAAAAGCCACCCCCACACACATACATGGAAACACATAATCCAACTGAGTGGAATATCTAATTCTTGGCTTAGTATTACTAATGGGCAGAACTGCATACTAAGAATTATCAGACTGTTCCCTCTATTGGACCTGTGTTATCTAAATTACTGAGTAAAATTGTTAATCCATTAATCAATCTTTATGACTGATCATTTATGATAAAAATTATCAACACATTTTTTTGGCATTAACTGAAAACTGTTGCGCGAAATCTGTCTACTCAAGGACATGTCACCCTATATTATCAAATAATTAAACTAGAATCTTCTTAGGCATCGAATTACATGTCAAGAATTTAAAGTGAATTTAAGATGAAAAGAAAAGCATATTTTCCAAGCAACAAAGACTTAATATGAAATTTTCTTATTTTTTAGGAGTTGGAATAGTTTGAGATTTTTTGTTCCTACGAATTATCTCCACACATCATGTGATGCACTGTTTGACAATTACAAAATACAAATAGTTTTAATGCTTTAAAAAAAAAGCCACTCTTTTATGAAGTACTTGTGTGGGACCTCTACAAATAAATGACATTTCTGGAATGGGGGCAAATTAAACTCCTTGTGCTCTTTGACATTCAAAGTCTTTAAAACCTTCAGCAAATTAAGATCCACCTCATTTTTAAGGCTTTTCACGTTAAATTGAAGTATATTTTTAGTATCGATAAACTACACTATCACTTCTATTTGAAAAGTATATCCACATTTTACTAGATTTTAGATTTTTTTTTTAACTCAAAATATAAAATTTGCCAGAACAAGTTAAACAGTAGACATGGCAGGCATTCAACAAGTTAATTTATCTATAGAATTCCTGAAGTAAAAGCTTGAAAAAAACTGAGATAAATCCCTGGTAGTGCTACTGATGATACAATGCTGCTAACATGAAAACTGAAAAATACTCAGAATATTCTGAAAACAGCATCTCCTTCTAAAAATAAAGAAAACCACTTGCCAACACAGAAACTATGGACTCTTAAAAATGATAATCACTGGGGAGGCATTTCTATAAATACTTTAGTCTAAATTGCAATTAACACTCACCTTTCAAAGCACTTTTCAGTCATGCCTTACCACTAACAAGCGAATTTTTTGGTGCCATTATACTGATAAAAGGACTCTGCTACTTCATTTGCTTCTAATGCAAACTATTCATTTATGCAGTTAAATATCTACAACTACCACAACATAAACCACTTCCAATCAGCAAAATTAAAACAAACAAGCAGAGCATCTATCATAGATAAGGCTCCAAGAATGTTCTAACAAATTTACATTTTACTTTATGGTACTAAGACTAAATGTGTTTGGTGGTAGATTTGGGTTTATATTCTACACATTTTTTTAGGTTGGAAGAGAAAAACCTCAGAAAATAAGCAACAGTGGATCACACCATTCTATTTTAAGTGAAGCCAAAAGTTCAAGAACTTCTGTGGAAGAGAGAATATTTAAGACTTTTTTCCTTTTTCTTAAGTATACTTAAGTAGTTAGGAATAATTTGTGTTCTATAACGCCATAGCCCTAACAACCAGTCTAGAGTGTAGCCTCTACACTACATTACGGTGGGGCGGAAGTGAAAAACGATCAGAGGGAGAAAATGGCCCGGCTGGCCAATTTACAAACCTTCAATTAAAAGAATTTTGAGATTAACTTCTTGTCTGCCCTCTCTCACCCCCACCCGCTTCCTCCTCTCCTCGGGGAGGTCTGTTATGCGACTCCTGACAAAATTTTTTTAATAAATAAATAAAGACACACCCTCTGGGTTGAAGTGACACAATCGCCCGCACCCCACCCTCCGCCGACACGCACCCCGTTTCTTCTCTCCTGTCTGCCGCTCCTGCCCCGGCCTCTCCCCTCTCCCGCTCCTTAGACCCTCTCGGGGTGAAGCAGCAGCAGGCAGCAGCTGGCTCCGGAGACGGTAGCCCGGCGAAGGGAAGGCTGCCCGGGAGCCGTGCGACTCTGGGGACCCAAGTCGGAGGGGGCCGACCGCGGGGGACCGTGGGCTGCGGCGGCCGCGGGCTCCCTCGCCCATTTTCTCTCTCCCCGTCTCTGGGTTTCGGCCACCACAGCCACTTCCTGTATCGCAGCCCGACTGCCACAGCCCGGCCACTAGCTCTCTCCCCGGCTGGGGGCTGGGGCAGCCGCTGAGGTTAGGGCAATCCCCACCCCGCCCCGTGGGCTGGTCATTCGGGCGCCGGCGGCGGCTCCTCGCCCCGCCGGCCGACGCCCGCCCGCGCGCCGCGCTCCTCACCTGTATGTAGTTGTTTTCACAGTAGTCCGCCACCCGGGTCAGGTTTTGGTAACTCTCTATCAGCGCCCTCTTGCCAGACGGGATCTCCTCCTCTAGTAGCATCTGCAGCTCTGCCATTTTTCACCCTTCTGCATCGCTTCCTCTCTTTTTAGAGACAGAGGTAACACGGTCTGGGGAGGGCCCGGGCACCTCACAGCCCGGATACAAACCGCCCACCGCCCTCCCGCCTGGTATTGTGGGACGGCACCTCCTCCCCTTCCTTCTCACTCTCTCCGCCCACCTCCACCCACTCCTCGCAGCTGCCTCAAACCCCTTATCTCGCGAGTCTTCATGCCTCTCCCTTCCCTCCCGCAACCATGGGATTTTTTTTTTTTAACTTCAGCTTCCTCTTCTGGGAATTGTAGTCTCTCACGGACCGGGCGATCCGCCAAAAGCGCATGCGTCCAAGGAGCTCCAAAAAAGAACTCGTACCAGTGTAAAGTACCACCACAGATAGTGGAAGTGTAAGCCCAGAGTTTCCCGACCGCCCCGTGAGATGGCACCCCCGAGCAGGCCGTGAAACTTGTCCGAGCTAGGTCAGTGAATCAGAGATACAAATTCTGATAAGGACTGAAAAGCGCTAGAACATGGAAAACTCCAAATCTTGACTTCCTCTCTGTTCTCAAACATAACAAGACTCAGGCTTTACTTTCTAAACTTCCACCGCCCTCAATTCGTTTAACGTTTAGCAAACATTACCAGCTCTGTGCCAAGCTATGTACTAAACATTGGGGGTGCAAGTTGAGTAAAGGTACTCTGTACCATTAAAGACTCACAATTTTAAAATAAACATACATAATTTCTAGTGCTATGCCGTCCTCATTTCTTTATCTTTGACTCTTCTTTGCATGCATCTCCTTACATTTTTGAAGTTATGTGCATATTGTTTACATTGTTTCTCTACGTTGTGTAAAATCTTTTTTTTTTTTAAATCAACTAACACTTTGGAATAACCTAAAATGCCCTGTAGGATAAAAAGTCAAAAAGCTTTTCATTTCAACAGGAACATTGAATGTGTTTGACATACTGGGCTATGAAAAGTGGTATCCAAAGGCCAAAAAGTAAACTAAAGGTCATTCAAAAATACATACTTTCATCTTTCCATGAAGTCATTTAGAACCACAGTAACTATAGGAATGATAACATGACTTAGCCAGATTTTTTAAAATTGACCCTTCGATAGATATATAGATATTGCAAATTGCCTTTAAGGGGCCATAAAATGTTCAACCTCTACAAGGAAAAACTTAAGCCTCCTAACTTGTAAGGGTAACTATGCCCAGCCACCAGATTCCCAATCAAGGATTCCAAGGTCCACAAATCAATAAATGGTTTACTCTCCATAATTAAATGCAATGAACTTGATAGTCTTTAATACTTACCATAATTCCAAACATTATTTAACTCAAGTTATGGAAATGTGAAAATATTTTTGAGCTTGGTCTTTACATGAGCTGGATATTACTGTGAAAATCACTAAGCTTGCTTTTACCTAAACATTGCTTCCTTTCAACAACATATCCAGAGTGGTTAGAAAGGTTAGAAAGTGGTTAGAAAATCTGCTTTACCATTTTAAAGTACTATCAGATTTATTTAATGCTCACAACTCAGAGATACATGACCATGATTCTTTCCTATCTTTACCAAATAAGGCAATTTAAGCTTAGGCAGGTTGAATTAAGCTTAAGTCACTGAAAATAGTAATCAAATGATCATTGGTCTTTCCAGTATTCAGTTTAAACTGTTAAAATACTTGTGATTCATCTAAAATCCATCCAAGAAATTATCCTTCATACCCTTAATGTGATTGAGTCGAATACACTACCCTTTGTATTTTTATTTTAAAAAAAGGTAATTTCCTTGATAATGATAGTTGGTAATCAGACAGTATTTCTTCATTAAAGCCAAGTGGGTTTAACAGGTGCAGGGGATAAAGAGGTACAAACTTCCAATGACACAATAAATTAGTCACAAGGATCAGAGTACAGCATAGAGAATATAGACAATAACATTGAAATAACATTTGTAGGTTGACAGATGGTAACCACCCTTATTATGGTGAACATTTAGTAATATATGTAACTGTCAAATCACTATGTTATACAATTTTATGTTAGTTTCAGGTGTACAACTATAAAAAAAAACTTTTAAAAATGGGATTTGTGGGGGAATGAACCGTAAAACACAACATCATACTATTTAGCCATGGGCTGTCAACAATTTTTTTGACACAGTTCAAAATTAAAAATAACATTATACAACATGAACAGGGACATAGATATCTGTGCTGGTGTAAAAGTTTCATAAATAATATACTCTAATATTTCCCAATTTATGTTATTTCATTTAATGCTTGTAAGGACCATAAAGTTTAATTCATGATGCACAGTTTGAAAACCGTTTTTCCTGTCCACTAAATCAAGTAAATATGACTCTATACAATAAGCATATATCATAAATTTGTTGTCATAAACCTTTAAAAAAATCAGTCATTAATAAACCAGAAAAAATATATATTCAAAGATTGAATAGGATAAAATTTAGCTGAAGAACCTAATTTTGTAATCAAAACAGCTTACCTTGTACAATCCTAATAGTTTTTTTGTAAAAATTGACAAGGTTATTCTAAAACTTATCTGGAAATGCAAAAGCCCTATTACAGCCAAGACAGTATCAAAGTCAAAGAATGAAGCTACAGGATATACATTATCAAATTTCAATATTTAGTACAAAGCAACAGGAATTAAGTCAATGTGGGACTGGGTATAAGAACAAATAGTTCTTTGGAACAGAAACAAATATATGAAGAAACCTGATTTATGACAAGAGCACCAATGCAATTCCATGGGAACAGAATTCTTCTTTTCCAAGTAAATGTGCTGGAGCCACTGGGTTTTTTTTATTTTATTTTTATTTTCATGAACACTGCACCTCCCTCACTCCATAATATAAAATTTATTTAGGATATATCATACGTCCAAATGTAAAAGGTAAAGCAACAAAGCTTCTGCAAAAAGACATAATAACTTCACAAGCTTGGGGTGGGCCATAATTTCTTAACCAAGTTATCATAAGCACTAACAAAAACACATGATAATTGCGTTTTGATAAAAAGAAAAAGTAAGCGATTGTATTCATTTCCTATTGCTGCTGTAACAAATTACAACAAATTTAGCGACTTAAAAAGGACTAATTTATTACACAAAGAAAACAAGATCCCTGATTCATATGCACCCATATGTTTATTACAGCACTATTTACAATAGCCAAGATATGGAAGCAACCTAAATGTTCATCAGTAGATGAATGGATAAAGAAGTGGTACGTATACACAATGGAATATTATTCAGCCATAAAAAGAAATCAAATTTTACCATTTACAACAAAATGGATGGAGCTAGAGAGTACTATGCTCAGTGAAATAAGCCAGGTGGAGAAAGACAAGTACCACATGACTTCACTGATTTGTGGAATATAACAACAAAGCAAAACTGAAGGAATAAAACAGCAACAGACTCACAGACTCCAAGATGGGAGTAGAGGTTACCAAAAGGAAGAGGTTGGGGAAGGTGTGGGGGGAGGGAGGGAGAAGGGGATTAAAGAGCATTATGATTAGCACACATACTGTAGGGGGTCACGGGGAAGGAAGTATAGCACAGAGAAGACAAGTAGTGACTACATCATCTTACTATGCTGATGGACAGTGACGACAATGTAGTGTTCGGGAGGACTTGATAATATGGGTGAACGTAATAACCACAATGCTGCTCATGTGAAACCTTCATAAGATTGTATATTAATGATACCTTAAAAAATAATGAGAAGAAAATTAAAACACAAATCACAGACTGGAGAAAATATTTGCAAACAAATGTCTAATACAGGACTTATATGTATAGCATATAAAGAACTCTTACAACTCAATAATAGGATGAAAAATAAATTTTTTCCAGTTTTTTTAAAGACCAAAAGATTTGAAGAGAGAGTTCACCAAAGGAGATACATGGTGGCAAACTAAATCAATGCCATTAGTCATTAAGTAAATGAAAACTTAAACCATAGTAAGATACCACTATACAAATAGGATGGCTAAAATGTAAAAGATTGATAATTACCTGACTCTACAGCATCTTAACTATCCTGATAGACAGTGACTGCAATGGAGGTGTGTGTGAATACTTGATAATATGGGTGAATATTGAAACCACAATGTTGTTCATGTGAAACCTTCATAAGATTGTACATCAATGATACTTTAATTAAAAAAAGATTGATAATTACCAGTATTGTCAAGGATGTGAAACAACCGTAACTCTCATACATTACTGATGAGAATGCAGAATGAAAGGCTACTTTGGAAAATAGTCATGTAGTGTCTCATGAAGGTAAAACCTGCTTATCTTATCCTGCAGTTCCACTCCCAGGTATTTATCCAAGAAAAATGAAAACATGTGCCCACACAAAGACTTATAAGCAAATGTTCAAAACAGTCAAAACCTGACAAGAACTGTATGTCCTAATTATAATATATACATACAATGGAATATTACTGAGCATTAAATAGGAGCAAACAGACAACATGCAACATCATGGATGAATCAGTATATAGTAAATTATATAAAGTGAAAGAAGCATTGTATTGAGTGAAAGAAAACAGACACACAGGAAGACCACAACCTGTACGATTTTGTTTATATGAAACTTTAGAAAAGGCATAACTACAGTGATAGAAATCAGATCAAACTTTGCCAGAGGCCAAAAGCTGGTGGGGAGTGGTATGACTCTGAAGA